AGCTCATAGACCAATCCCCAAGATAAATGGTTATTTCGGTAAATTTTGGAAGCAAATACGTAAAGTATTGCTAAAATATCGATTTCCCACTTATAGGGTCATATTGGTAACTAAATGACATAAATAATCGAAACTGGATCAAAGTTCGAGTTTCACAAACTCCAAATAAATTTGATGAAAGCCTTATAAAGTTATTATGGGAAAAATAACTTTATGAAACTTTAGGGAGTAAATTCAAATTTCTGAAACTTAGCGTTCTGGTTAACGCTTGCAACTTCAAGCTGAGGTCACGGGTTCGATTCCCGCCCTCAACAACTTTATCCCAATATTTTTAAATAAGGGTAAATGGACGCGGGTCTTGGGTCAGGCCGACCCGGTCCGTGACCCGGCAACAAGAACGGCCCAAGACAAAAACTGCAGGTCTGCAGCCATGGCTGCTCGTTTTCGAGCTTTTCGAGAATGAAAATGGCTCGTTTCTTGACCTTTTTTCTTCATTCTTTTTGCACCAAACTCTTGGTAATATTTTTACCAACACTTTGACATAAATAACATGAATGTTCATCAAGAAATGAGTTCCATTTACTCATTTAAAGTTTGTTTTTAAAACTAAACTTAACAACTTAAAAACATAAAAAATCGAACAACGAAAACACAAATATGAGACATGAGGCTACTGGGATTTGATAGAGGACCTAAAAACGAAACTATAGACATAAAAATCAAGAGATTTGGTTAAGAATCTTACCCAAAATCGGTGAAAAACCGAGATTTTTGATTTCGAACTTCAAACTCAGATTTCTCTCTCAAAACTCAACTATTTTTCGAGCTATTTCAACCAAAACGTTCCTAAGCCAAGCTCTACAATTTATATGCCAAGAGTTTTGGCTTATTAGTTGAAGAAATCAGACAAATCGTTAGTTTTAGGCTGATGGGTAGTTTTCTTTAAACATATATGTACTATTGGCAAAACAGGTCCCTAATCTTTGAAAAAGATGAGATTCGGCCCCCTCAAGTTTCTGACAATTACCATCGGACCCCTCCTGACGTAATATCTTACATTTTTGGTCCAATAATTAAAAGAAAACAATTTTACTTTATTTTTCTTTTTGTCTTTCTTTTCATTATTTATTTATTTAAGATTTCTATAATTATTTACTTTAGTTTATTACGTAAATATTTTAACACTTCAAATAAATTTAAAAAAATATATCTAAAGGTTCATGTAATATTATTTATATATTTAAAAAAAATGGGTTTTACAACTCTCCCCTCCTTCAAGAAATTCCGTCCTCGGAATTAATACCCGCTAAAATAATTGAGGATATTTAGCTTTCATTTCTTCTTCCCCACGTCATTTCTGCACTTTTATGGAATTTCCACTTAACTAATACCATTGGTATACTTTTGTTTCTTAGTCTTTTCATCTTTTTATCCAATATATCAGCTAGTTCTTCCACATAAGCGAGCTTGTCGTTAACCTCGATGTCTTCCAAATCCACAACAGTTGATTCGTCAGCTAAACATTTCCTCAAGTTCGATACATGAAAGGTATCGTGAATACCACCTAACTCATTTGGTAGTTTCAACCGATAAGCAACTGCTCTTACTCTTGCAGTTATCTCAAATGGTCCGATATACCTTGTACTTAGCTTACCTTTCTTTCCAAATCTTACGACCCCTTTCCATGACGATATTTTCAACAAGACCTTATCACCTACTTGAAATTCCAAAGGTCGACGTCTTCTATCCGCATAACTCTTTTGTCTATCTTGCGCAACCTTTAACCTCTCCCTGATCTGTACTATTTTATCAAATGTCTGTTGCACTAACTCGAGTCCAGCTAGTTGTCTTTCTCCAATGTCTGCCCAACAAATTAGAGTTCTACACTTACGGCCATATAACGCTTCAAATGGTGCCGCCTTGATGCTCGAATGGTAACTATTGTTATAAGCAAATTATATCAATGGGAGGTGGTTGTCCCAACTACCTCCAAAGTCAATCACACAAGCTCTCAACATATCTTCTAGTGTTTGTATCGTCCTCTCACTCTGGCCATCAGTTTGAGAATGATATGCAGTACTCATGTTCAACCGAGTTCCCATTTCTTGTTGAAAACATGACCAAAATCTCGAAGTAAACCTAACATCTCTATCTGAGACAATGGATATCGGTACACCATGTCTCGACACGATCTCATTGATGTAAAATTGAGCCAATCTTTCTAATATATACTTGTCGCTGATCGATAAGAAGTGAGCAGATTTCGTTAGTCGATCCACAATTACCTATATGGCGTTGTGTCCCTTTACCGTCCTTGGAAGTTTAGTGCAAAATCCATCGTGATCATATCCCACTTCCATACTGGGATCTCCATTTGTTGCAACATTCCAGACGGTCTTTGATGGTCGGTCTTCACTTTCAAGCACGTCAAACATTTCCCCACTTAGCTAGCTACTGCCCTTTTCATACTAGGCCACCAATAGCTTTCTTTTATGTTCTTGTACATCTTATTACTACCTGGATGCATAGTGTATTTGGACTTATGTGCTTCATCCATCACTACATTTCTTATATCCCCCAAACTAGGAATCCGAACCCGATTCCTATGTCTATATATTCCATCTGGTCCAGCTGTCAAAGTCTTAATTTGTCCAATCATTCTCTCCTTTTTGATGTTCGTTTCGAGTAAAGCTTCCTTTTGGACATCCCGTATTCGGTCTAGAAGCTCCACTTTAACACTCATCCACATGACTCGAACCCTGATTGGTCCGTTTCTCTCCTTCCTACTAAGTGCATCGGCAACTACATTTGCCTTACCTGGATGGTAGTGAATCTCACAATCATAATCCTTAAGTAGTTCCATCCATCTCCTTTGTCTCATATTTAGCTCCTTTTGATCAAACAAGTACTTAAGGCTCTAATGATCGGTATAGATCATGCACTTCGTACCGTACAACTAGTGTCTCCAGATTTTTAGCGCGAAGACTACATATGCTAATTCCATGTCATGAGTTGGGTATTTCCTCTCGTGTTCTTTCAACTGACGTGACGCATATGCAATGACCTTGCCTCTCTGCATTAGTACACAACCCAAACCCATTTTTGATGCATCGCTATAAACGACAAAATCTTCTACTCCTTCCGGTAGTGATAAAACCGGTGCAGTGCTTAGTCTCTCCTTAAGTGTCTGAAATGCTTCTTCTTGTTTCGTTCCCCACTCAAACTTAACTGACTTCTTTGTCAGTGTTGTCAAAGGCGTTGCTATCTTGGAGAAATCTTGGATGAATCTTCGGTAATACTCGGTTAGGCCTAGAAAACTTCGGATCTCCAATACTGACTTTGGTGATTCCCAGTTCATAACTGCATCAACCTTAGCCGGATCCACCTTGATCCCCTCCATGTTGACTACGTGACCAAGGAATTGTACCTCATGCAACCAAAACTAACATTTTGAGAACTTGGCGTACAATTGCTCTTTTGCTAGTAATTCAAGAATCATCCTTAAGTGTTGTTCATGCTCCTTTTTACTTTTCGAATAGATTAAAATGTCATCTATAAAGACTATGACAAATTGGTCCAAATATGATCCACAAACTTGATTCATTAAGTCCATGAATGCCGTAGGTGCGTTTGTTAATCCAAACGACATTACTACAAATTCGTAATGTCCATAACGAGTCCTAAAAGCGGTCTTCGACACATCCTCTTCTCGAACCTTTAATTGATGGTAACCCGATCTTAAATCGATTTTCGAGAAATTGCTAGCTCCTTGTAACTGATCGAAGAGGTCAGCGATCCTTGGCAATGGATATCTGTTCTTTATCGTGATTTTGTTCAACTCCCGATAATCGATGCACATCCTCATCGTGCCGTCTTTCTTTTTGACGAATAAAATCGGTGCTCCCCATGGTGACGAGCTTGGCATGATAAACCCTTTATCTAAGAGTTCTTGTAGTTGCTTCATCAGCTCTTGCATTTCTGTTGGGGCTAAACGATAAGGCGCCCTTGCAATTGGTGCCGCACCTGGTACCAAATCGATTCGGAACTCTACCTGACGTTCCGGTGGTATTCGCGGTAATCCATCTGGAAATCCCTCACCATTGGAACATCATGTATTGCCTTCTTTTCGAGCTTGGCATCGATGATGTATGCCAAGTAAGCCACACATCCCTTCCGCAGACACCTATTCGCCTTAATTGCATTGATTAACCCTACGCAACACTTCTTTCGATCATCGTAAACATGAATTGTTTTTCCTTCCGGAGTTTGAATCTTGATCATATTTTTATTGCATACTATTTGCGCATGATTGTTGGACAACCAATCCATCCCCAAGACCACGTCAAAACCCCCTAAACACATTGGCATAAGCCTAACAGGGAAATCCTTACCATCTATAACAATTGTGCATTCATCAAATACTTCGTCTACCTTACACTGACTACCGTCGGCTGTTTCTACAGTGTAGGTTTTGTCTAGCCTATAGGCACTCCTATTCAATAGTGGCAGAAGGTAGTAGACACAAAACTACTATTTGCACCCGAATCAAATAATACATGTGCATACACATTGTTGATAGGGAACATACTAGATACGACGTCGGGTGTTTCCTTGGCTCCTCCAAAGTCATGTTGTAAGCTCGGTCGTGTCTCTTAGGCAGCTCCTTCCTATTTTCTGATCTCTTCCCAAATCCATTATTCACTGTCTTTATGTGGGGTGTCGCACCATTTCGATGTTTTGGACAGTCAGGTCGTAAATGTCCCGTAGCCCCACACTCATAACAAGTTTTCCCTTCTGGGCACTCCCATGCGGTATGCCCAGGTTTGTCACATTTGTAGCATGTCAGGCTCCCCGCTCTGCACTCTCCCCTAAGTCTCTTGTTGCATTTGTTACATGGAGGAATAGTGAATCCCTCACTTCGTGTTTTTGCCAGAGTCGGAGTCCATTTTGGTTTCTTGTTGAACTTGTTTGATCCTTCCCATCTTCTCTTTGCATCCCTTCTATCACAATTCTCCCTAGCGTTGATCTCCTCTGCCACCTTCGCCATTTCCACTGCTTGGACAAATGTGGTCGGTTTAGTCATGTCCATGTACCGTTTGATTTCGATTCTTAAGCCGTCTTTGAAGCGACCTATATTTCTCTCCTCGGTAGCCACTTGGTAACTGGCGAACCTTGCTTTCTCAAGAAAATCGTTAACATATTCTTGAACCGACAACGAACCTTGCTTTAATCTCAGAAATTCTGATTCTAGCTTGTTCACCTCCGATTGTGTGCAGTACTTATACATCATCATATTTTCCATTTGCTCCCAAGTCATGGCAGCAATATCCTTATCACCTTTGATTGCGCACTCAGACTCCCACCAATGCAATGCATAGTCCACAAAGGTTGTAGCAGCATAGGTCACTTTTTGATCTTCTGCGCATCTACAAATTTTGAAGCTACTCTGCATCTTGGTTACCCAGTTCATCAAGCCAACTGGGCCTTCTATTCCCTTAAATTCTTTCGGCTTGGTGCCTTTGAATGTTTTAAAACTCATCATTTCTCCTTTATTGTCAATTCAGTTCTCTCGTTGGTGGGTGACTCCACCTTCTCTTTAATAGATACTTCCATCTTTTCAGTGGCTTGAGTGTTCTCGTGTCGAACACTTTCCTCCTCTCCATCTTCATTGTCTTTAATTCTGTCACCCAACATTGCTTTCAGCATATTTGGCAATGTATCCCGAAGGACTTGTGCCATTTGCTCAGCTATCATTTCCTTTGTGAGGAGATTTTCCTCTCGCCGGGCTCCTTGACTCTTACCAATAGCTAAATTAGCTTGCGCGGATGGAGTCGTACTAGAACTAGCGGTTCGGACACTTCCTCGAGCTCGACTTTGGGCTCTTGTCCGACCTCGAACTATTGGTGGGGCTATGCCATTATTACCTCCCTCATTGAGGGCGTTCCATGTTGATCCACGAGAAACCATATTGACATAATAGGGTATCATCGTTTTAACAAGGTTCTAGAGTCAAACATAACACATTACATATATATATATATATATATATAATCACTATATATATTTCGTGTCAATAAACAATCATGGAGAGAGAGACATTACATAATCCCATTTCATAACAAAATATGGGATACTTCATAATTCTAAACACATCTCTAAATCATGTGAATGCTCAAAAAAAAAACTATTGAAGCACTGGACTAGATGAAAATTCGATCAACTATCTAGACACGCACAATAAATCACATACCCAAAAGATCTTTCTCTCTCCCCTTTCTCAAAAGGATTCTGATCTGCAGGATAATAAGGGAGATAAGGGTCCCTCAACCACTCCTCAAAAGATGTGGATGGCCTGGAATGCCACAACACACTAGCCTTTGGGCCATTTTTGATGCATTGGACCCAGTCGGAGAAATAGCCCCTCACTACACTAGCATAGTCTATGGTCATTTTCTTATAGAAGTGAACTCTGTCTCTAAATCTAGCGCCTACGGGGCAAGCAACAATTCTTCGCTCCTGTTCAAGTACAACTTTATCCCAAATCAGTGCATGACGCTGTTCCGACAAATTTGCATTCTCTACAATTAGCTCGTTTAGGGCTCCTCCTTATTCGACATGTGCCTGCTGAAGATTGTTCAGCCATTCATTCAGTCTAGTATTCCCATCTAGAGTTCGGGTCAACCTCTCTCTTAGCTTTGTGTTCTCGCCCCACAAGGTCTCTATAGTCTCCGTCATGTCCTCACGTGTAAGGGTGCGGGGCGTGTAGTCCTTCGAAGGATCGGGTGTGGTCCTTCGCCTGATGGGCTCTCGTGATGACACTTCACTAGTGTGGGCCAGACTATCGCTTCTGGACCGGGTGTCGGAAACATGTCTGGCGCTGGAGCGGTGACTGTCAATAGATCCTCTAATAGGTCCTAGCCCGTAAGGTGTCCTACGTGTTCCGTATCTGCGTCCACGTCCGCGTCTGATAGACCTAGTGTGAATGGTGTGAACCATGTCTCCTACAAGTCATAAAAGGAACACTATGTCAAGTAATAATGTAGGATCAAACTTAATCGCATGATAAGCAATACTAATACACAATAAACATGTGCTTCTAACAATCCTCTCAGTTTAAGCTTAGGCTAAGTAAATCTTAACCTAATTACCTTAAACTAAAGCTTTGATACCAACTTGTAACACCCTCATTTTTTTAATAATATGAGAATGTTACGTAATCTGAAACAGATTCCTAAATAAATAATCCAAAAGACGGCTAAAATAAAACCGTTTGAACCGTTTATAGCGAAAGTCTTTGAATCGCCCAAAAATTCACTTAAGTTCGAACCCACCTCATACCATGTTAAGTTACAAAAGATCGACACAACGCTGCTAGACAAAAGACAAAATAAGATGATAATTAGCAACTCTCTAAGCATGTCCTTTGCCCTTATCCAACCTCGAACTACCTGGCCCTGAGATGCATACTATAGTCAGCTTATAAAGCTCAGTGAGTTCATGGTTTGCGTGAATAAAATAATATCTTGACATATATATATGGCATATATGCATGCTTTATAATAAAAGTCACAGCTTAAATATATATATATATATATATATATTTAAAACACTGAAAATAAGAGATCTCATATAATGTTTAGTCGGGTATGGGTCATTTAGTCACAAACACGCCCTGGGTTGATATGTCATTCTTATTTGATCACCCACTTATCCGGGTCGTGTTTTATACTGGCCGTGACTTACTGGTCAAATGTCCACATTAAATCATAAAAAATTAATATGAAATAGCATGCTAGAGTTGTTCGAAAACTAATTAAACACATAGCATGTAACCATTCACAAAATAACATACATGTAAAATATATCATAACATGTATGTAATTGAAATATCATGCATACGTACACATCATCAACAATTCATATCATGCAAAAATAAT